CTCCCTCCCTCTCTCTCTCTCTCTCTCTCTCTCTCTCTCTCTCTAAAGTTGGTTCTCTTTTTTAACCCCCAGTGGAAACCTACATTTCACTTTCTTTTAGTCACATGCACATGGATAGTATTTTAGTCATTTTTAGGGAATTGTAGCCTGATACTTACGGAAAAATTTATAGTAAGCTTCCAAAAGAGAATTTCAGATACTGCAATTAAAGTAGTACTCTTATGGCTTGGGAGATGGCATGAGGCTGACTGTTTTTAAATGAATAAACCATAATACTGGTTGAAGTTGAATTGTTGTTTAAGTGTGTTGTTTTCAATACATTTAATTTTGAACAAAATACAAATTTTGACTAGATGATTTTTTTCGGATATATATTTTTAAAGGTATTACAATAAGTGATACAAGGGCACTTTTTCCTTCCTCTTGTCCCTAAACCTGAAAATAACTAGCTGTAGTTGTCTCATGACAGATCCTTAAACTATTTGATCTTCATGCTCTAGGAATTAAGATGGCAAGGAAAGCCAACTAAGAAATCCTTGAGGTAAATGGGAAAGGAAATTAATTTCAAAGTTTTTTTTCTAAAGCCTTAAGTAAAATAAACTGTACTTAATTTAGACCCTTTATGGCCTCTATTTCTTAGGCAAATAAATGTGTGCAACAGCAAATGTGAAACTATTCATTCCATGCAGGAATTTTCATGTAATTGATGCATCAGTAATCTGGGGATAAATTAGATACTGTGAAAAACAAAATCAAGAAATTGAATATAGAGGGATCTAATACTAGAAGGTGATATTTGTGGTAAGGATGATTATTTACAAGAACAGGGATTTTTATTTACTTATTTACTTATTTTTCATAGAAATAATTTTATTTTAAAATTTGTTTTAATTAGTTACACATGACAGTACAATGACCTTGACATATCATACATTTGAATCAGATGGAATATAATATCTCATTTTTCTGAGTATACAGGTTGCAGAATCACATTGGTCATGCATTCACATATATACATATAGTAATAATAATGTCTGTTTCATTCTACTATCCTTCCTATGTCCCCAACCCCTCCCCTCCCCTCCCATCACTTCTCTCTCCCTAATCTAGGGTAACACTATTCTTTTTGTTTTCCTTCTCACATCTTCATACATGTATTTTGTATTATTTATTTTTGAGACAAAATTCTTGCTATGTGGCCCAGCTGGCCCTGAACTCTAAGGCTGAAGTGATCCTTTTGTCTCAGCCTTCTTGAGTAACTGGCATTATAGAGATGTGCTAATGTGCCCAGTTTTTAAAAAATTATTAAGTATTTCAAATGTATAGAGTAGAGAATAAGATTGCTGATATTATAAAAAGCACTTGTTAATATAATCATACCTTTATTTTTCTGAAACAGAATGTTATAAAATTTTTACTACACATATACAGTTACATGCATTATTATAAATCTTTGAAACCTTCTTACTCCTTCTCCCTCTTTGGGGGGAACTATGCCTTATAGGGGTTGCTAAGTAAAATGATAAACTACTGGAACTAGAAAAGCCTTTACTGCCCCCACACACCAGAAATTTGTTAACTCATAAAGTGCAAAGAAACTTTAACCATTTCTCCATTGCTTCTACTTCTTTAGTGATCTTAATTTTGATCAAAAGGATCTAGAACTAGAGGAAGAGATACAGAAAATCTTTTTGTGGATATGAGAGTCCTCCTCCCCTCACTCAGATGACTATAAAGGAGGTATTTTAGAAGCAAGTCCCAAATCTGGCAGCATTTTTTGTATATTTATTTATCTTTATTAATTTTAACATTTAAAAAGACCTGTTTATTTAGTTTCTCTGAGTTTTTGTGAATACTCTAATGTTTGACTCTTCTGTTCTCCTCAGGATTCAAAAATTTCCTCTATGGAGCGTGGGCTCCGGGACCTGGAAGAGGAAATTCAGATGCTGAAATCAAATGGGGCTTTGAGTACTGAAGAACGGGAGGAAGAAATGAAGCAAATGGAGGTGTATCGCAGCCATTCTAAATTTATGAAAAACAAGGTAATGGTGTATAATACTACTATAGTTCATAGGAATGATGTGAAAGATTGATGCATATTTTTACTTCTTTAGTAATGATAAAAATCTACTTTATTGTTTTATCAGACATTGGGGAAGCATTCTTTTAAATGGAATTTTCCCAGAAGTAAGGTCAAAATTCCTGATATCATACAGTTATTATAAGCTTTTATTTAAAAGAAAAGTACTTGTATGAGACAAAGTCTATATTTTTATAATTTAACTTATCCTATCTATAAGTACTTTTGAGGTGATTTAGTAGTATTATATCCAGATGTGTTTTTCTTCATTATATGAGACATCCAGTTCTCTACCTCTTGTGAAATATTTTAAGTCAAAATCCCAAGAGGCTGAATCCAGCTTTTTTTTTTTTTTTTTTTCTCCTTCCTGAAATGGGTTAAATGAAACTGTGTTTCCCCTTTAAATATAGGAAAGCTCTGTGCTGTATCCCTTGGAGAAGGTCAGTTTGCTCCCAGGTTTTTTGCTTCCCATGTCCATTTCAGGCATAGTGTAATAAGATAGATACCATGGAGACTTACTTGACAGTATGTATTTTAAAATCAGTCACATTATTTCTTCCTTATATCCAAAGTCATTTAGTTTGAGTTGATAAATTTTTTAGACAAATTGAAAGATTTAATTTATTATAGGTATCAGTTTTGTTGTGGTTTAATTAAAAATTACAATTGTAATGGTAGTAAAATTTTAATTTGACAGTATTTCTCGACTGTATTACCCAAATGGATATCCAAGAATTGAAAACTGAAACATTCACAGTAGTGTAAGAGATAACACCATGGTAACTTCCTCCTGCATTTCTGGTTTTTTGTTGTAGTACCCACACCTGCCTTATATGTTTTTAAAATATTTCCTTACTATTAAGAATCTATTATCAGCTGGACGTGATGGCGCATGCCTGTAATCCCAGTGGCTTGGGAGGCTGAGGCAGGAAGGATCACAAGTTCAAAGCAAGCCTTAGCAATGGTGAGGCATTAAACAGCTCAGTGTGACCTTGTCTCTAAATAAGATGCAAAATAGGGCTGGGGATGTGGCTCAGTGGTTGAGTGTCCCTGAGTTCAATCCTTGGTACCCCCCCCCCAAAAAAAAAAGAATCTATTATCAATGACATCTGGCAATTTTATGTTAATTTTAGAACTTAAAAATTCACATATCCAGCCTTCTATTAGTTTGGGTTTTTCACCCCTTGACAACAAAATACACTGCAATAAAGTCTGTATGTTTATGCTTTCCATTTGTTGATAGCACACGACAGTTTATTAAAAAAACAAAACAAAACTGAAAAAAACCACACACAATCCTGTGAAAACTGAGAAACCTTCTATGTTCCTTTGAAGAGGGAATTAGGGGAACAGATTTAATTGTGTACATGAGTCATTGTTATTTCCAGTGGCCGTTCTGGCTCAAAAGTAGTTAATAAGATGACCTAACTTGACACATGAGTGAAAAAGAATAACAATGTCGTGACAGGTAGAGCAACTGAAGGAGGAACTAAGTTCGAAAGAGGCTCAAGGGGAGGAGCTGAAAAAGAGAGCAGCTGGTCTTCAGGCTGAGGTCTTTGCCGTAAGATTTACCTCTTTGTGTGCAGTGATCCCACAGTGGGACCCTGCCAGTTCTGGCTTATGGGTGGCTTACACTTTCATTCTCTGTGGTTGGCAACTTTACCCACCACTAGCACTAACCAGCCTGCTTTGTTCTTTAACTGACTCCTGTTCACTAGTTTGACCCAGATGCCACTTTATATGCACTGAGCCCTGTGTTTTCTGGAAGCCCTATAACATGGTTCTTTATTGTTGCTTTTATTCTTCTATGGAAGGTATTTCAAAGCTTGTTTTTTTCCCCCCAAGCCATTATTACTAGATACTTGTTGATTTATATAAATGGTGGTCTTTTTTCTTCTTACATGCAGGAATTACAGATGTTTTAGGCCCATCACCTAGAGTTCATTTGAATTTGAAATTCTCACGTAGAATACCTCTTATGTAGACATTGCCTTTAAATTCTCATTAAGTGATTCTGCAGCAAATGTTATTTTCTTTAGGGCAGATGGATAGAAAATAATTAGCTTATTTAGAGTTATCAGTAAATTTGAATTTGTGTGTGACATTTCAAGTATCTAAATCTAGTTCAACCTTCTGTTTAATGAATTTAATATTTCATTTCAAAACATAATAAATAATAATAAAATAGCTAATACTAATTTATTGTAAGCTCTTTATAACCTGAATTTATCAATCCCAATTTATAGATGAGGAAACCAAGAAAACAGAATGATGCCTAGGAAAAGACAGTTTTTAAGAGTCAGGGTGTTGGCTAAGACTATAATGCAGAATAGAAAAAATCTTGTGCTAATTTGGTATGTTTGCTGTTTATGAACCACTTTATAGTATTGATAAAAAGCAAACTTTGTTTTTTTTGAAAGAGTCTAATTTGGCTAATGGCTTGACCATGTCTAGAGGAGAAGATAATCTATTATTTCCTTTATTTTTTTAGCTACTATTATTCATTTTTGTGTAATGTTAGGCTAAATGGATTTCATACATTATTTTATTGAATCCCTAAACAATAAAGTGACATTGGTATAATTTCTTCCTGTTACAAGTTAGGAAACCAAAACTTAAAGAGGCAGAGTAATTGCTCAAAGACATAGCTCTCTCAGCCTAACATGTGGCTGACTGCAAAGTCTTGTGCTTGTGACTTTTTATTATTTGCTTTTTGTTTATAATATTCTCTCCTCTTCTGAGTCTTTAAGGAAAATTTGTGCTTCTAAATTTTGTTTAAAATATTTTCTTTCCTTTTTCAGTCTTTCCTGTCAGTATAACTATATGTGAAGCTTATTCAATAATGCAGATGATGAGGAAACTGAGATTTTATATTTATTTTTGATCCTATGATTGGAAGTAGCTGGAAATTTGAATAACCTTTAGGCCATAGTTCTTTACTAAGGAAGTAGTAACACTTTAAGCATTTCTTCTGAATATTCATTTATAAAACAGATGCATTTTTAGTGCAATCTGTGTGTTAGGGATGGGATAATAGTAATGTGAATTATTTGTTGATAAAGTGATAGATATATCATCAGTATCTACAAGTACTTGGCCTATAATAAGCATACAGAAATATTGTATGAATGCATAACTTTATTAGTAAACAGATTTCATGTGAGAAAAATGCTTTTTTTTCTTAAAATGGAAGTCTAAATTAGAAATTTATTTGTAGTATTTCTTAAAATTTTCTGGCAAAATTTATTTCCTTTTGGGAAATTGTTTTTAAAAGCTTTACCCCTTTTACCTGAGATTATTACAATAAAATACTCTAGTATTTAGTTTTTTTTTTTTTAAGATAAAGGACTTGTGGGATGCAATGGCTCATGCCTTTAATACCTGCTACTTGGGAGGCTAAGGCAGGAGGATCACAAGTTTGAGGCCAACCGTAACAACTTAATGAGACCCCATCTCAAAATAAAAAGGGCCTGGGAATGTAGTTAAGTGGCAGTGCACCCTTGATTTTAGTCCCCCGTACTACTAGAAAGAAAAAAGAAAGAAAAAGAAAAGGACTTTTCATTTAATCAGTGATAATGAAATTAATGACTTTTTGTTTAATTTATACTTTCAACAATGTCTTTTAGTACCTTGCTGGGTGGTAGACTTAATATAAAAGCAGATCTAATTTCTGTTTATTTGGTTTATATTTAGAATAAAAGACTTTAAAAAATTCTTAGAAACAATAGAGATATAGAGGAAATGTTTGAAAGAAAGTATTTTGTAGTTAAGAGAGATTTTTATGAGATAATGAATAGCATTAGTTGATTTATGGATTACCCTTTCAGAGTAACAAACTTTAAATTACACATGTAGGTTTTTACAGAGAGATTTAATGCATTAACTTTTATCCGTTTTGATGATATGACATATTGTAGGTGATAGAACTTTATAGATAGAATCTTTTTTTGTCAAGTTTTATACACATAACAAAAATTATACAATTTTAAAAAACACATGTCTGTAATAACTTGTAGCACTGAAAAAAACAGTTTTTAAGATAAGGCTTTTATGAAACTTGTTTGAGAATGAGAATAAAACTTAACAAAAAATAGAGATGCAGCACTACCTTTTGAATTTAAATAGTAGTATCAGGAGGTTTCTTTTTTCCTTCTGTTATATATGTACATTAATCTAACGTTTGATCTATTACATTCTAGAGAGATCTGACTTAATAAAATGGAAACTACTTTTTTAGAACAGTGTAGTTTAGGTGTATACGGCTATCTTATAGTTATCTAATTGAGTTGGAAATTTTTTTCCATTTCTTTACTAAAGGGTTTCAAAGAATATTTAGAAGACAACAAATGAAAAGTGGAAATTTCCCTCTTTGTTGAATAAGCTTCATTTTTAGGGGATGTGGAGGTGGTGGTGGGATTCCAACATAAGATAATGGAAAGGAGATGAATATGTTGTGTCTTATTTATTTATTTATTTATTTATTTATTTATTTATTTATTTATTTATTTATTTATTTATTTACCACCTACCTACCTACCTACCTACCTACCTACCTACCTACCTACCTACCTACTGTGCTGAGAAATGAATCAGGGCTTTGTGCCTGCTACGGAGGTGCTCTACCATTGAGCTACACCCCAGGCTTCTGTCTTAGTTTTATATCTTGTGATTTAGATTTGTCAGAGGTCAAGATGAGAGGTCTTTTTTTTTTTTCTTAGAGTGTTTTTTTTTCCCCAGATTGGCCAGGTGAAACAGGAGCTGTCCAGAAAAGACACAGAACTACTCGCCCTACAGACAAAGCTAGAAACGCTCACAAACCAGTTCTCAGACAGTAAACAACACATTGAGGTGCTGAAGGAGTCCTTGACTGCTAAGGAACAAAGAGCTGCCATCCTGCAGACCGAGGTAAAGAGATTCTGGGATGCATGTGGAATTGATACCTTGACATCTTTTCAAAAGTGCTATTTTTTAATGTTTAGATTTGGAAAATATGAATAATGTTACAGTTTATTCTTCAGCAGTATGATCATTTATTGTACTAAAATCTAACCACCTTGTTCCACTTTGTTCTTAGCTCTAACAAATTAAAACTGTGCTATTTATTTACAATTTTTAATATTTTAGACTTTTAACAAGTTTGTACTTTGAAGTATATTCTAGATATTCAAATGAAAGGATACTTATAAGAAAAATAATTGCATTAGAAGCCTTAATTCTCATCCATTATAAATTGTCATGAGTGTCAATGAGGTTAGTTATCCTGTGTTTGGATTATATGCAAAACATCCTTAAGTTTAATATTATGAATATTTTTATGTAGGCAAGTTGTAGAATCTGTAAATGTTCTAAATAGATGTAGTTTTGAACTATAGATCATTAGACAGTGTCTTTTCATGTATATCCTGGTTGAAAATAAAGTTAGTGTTTTCAGAAATCTTAGATTATCTCATCTATTGGCCCTCACTTCAGGGAGGAGTAAGTAATCCCAGGGAAATTCTCATCTGTTGTATTTTCAAGGATCAAAGACAAGGAATTGGTGTTCTTATTTGGATACTGTCTTAATTAAAATATTTTAAAAAGATCTCAGTGAAGTAGATATAATTTAGGTAGGAATAGGGAGTAGTTCTGTATAAAAGAAAAATAAAGCATATAATGTAGATTAATTTTTTTAAAAAACAACCAGACAATAGATAAATAAGGGCATAGTTTGATGGACAAAGGAATGTGGAGGAAAAAGAATAAAAGCATCATAGTTTTGGACAAACAGAATCTTTAAATATGGAGGAATGAAAAAAGACTTGGGGAAGGGACTGAAACAATTTCATGTTGTATTTTTTTTTTGTCTATATAGTTTCATGCTTTGTGGAAAATGAGAGATTTGTTGATGTAGTTGACATTTTCTTATAATTCACATTTTTTCTTCTAAAATCATATTTCATTTTATCATGTTATCAATTCCATTCTACCTCAGAGAGAGATTTAGGTATAAAATCACAAGGTGCAATAAAGGTTAAGGCTCTAGAGTCATCTTTTTTGAGTTTGGACTTTTATCTTTACCACTTGCTTACTAGGTGCATGACCTTAGGTGTGTACTTAACTTCATGGTGCCTCTCTTGCCACATTTATAACATGAACTGAGTAGTAGTATCAGCTCCTAAATTTGATCTTAAAATTAAGCTAGTTATTCATGTCTAGTACCAGACACATCATATGGTGTTTATATATAGTTATTGTCATCATCATTATAATTCTTATAATAAAATCAGCTCATATATATATAAACTGTTATGATTGTTAGGAGAACATAGTTGGTTTTCTTTTATTGGCATAAATTTGTTTTGAAGATATGCTTTTCATGTATTTATTGGGCTAAATTTAGCTTTATTCACAGAATTAGAAATTTAAAATCACCTGGAAAATATTACCCACAAAGTTATTAAGGTTGGGCTGGGGATGTGGCTCAAGCAGTAGCGCACTTGCCTGGCATGCGTGCAGCCCGGGTTCATTCCTCAGCACCACGTACAAACAAAGATGTTGTGTCCACCGAAAACTAAAAAATAAATACTAAAAAATTCATTCTCTCTCTCTCTCTCTCTCTCTCTCTCAAAATTAAGTTATTAAGGTTATAGTTTTATTAAGAAAAGAAACTTGTACATGCAGTACTACAAAAGACTCAGAAGAGGGTGCCAGTATCTTAGAGGTGGTCCCTGCTTTTAGGCTTGCTACTGAGATGGCTTTGGCTGGAGGCAGCAGGTGTGTAAACTAGAGAACGAAGCAGTTGGCTAATGATAATGCAAACATTTAAAAGCTTGTCACAACCTAATAAATGACTTTTCCCCCTTGGCAATCCATCCTTCTCTTTCTACCCAACTCAAATAATGTTCTTATTAGCTAGGTCTCACACAGATGGGCTTGTGATTGGTTTCTTGTACCATAGAGAATAAAGACTGTATTTATTGTCATTCTGGATGGTTTTTATATTTGTTTTTAGCTATTGTGGGAGAAGCTGAGCCTCAGTGGATTCCCCCAGTTAAGTTATTAGGACAACTGCTCAAATATAACCATTTCATCCCTATTTAAGAGTATGAAAGCTAACTTCTCTTTGATTTTGGGTTGATTTTAAGATTGTATTATGATTATTTATTAGCATTTACATAAAAGTGACATTTGATAAGAGTCACTTTTCCCAATGCAATTTCCCAGGTTAGAGCCCAATAAAAGGCAGTTCATCCCAGTATTTTGAAAGTTACTTTGTATTTCTATATTAAAAAAATTTTTTGTAGTTGTAGATGGACAGAATGCCTTTATTTTATTTGTTTATTTTTATGTGGTGCTAAGGATTGAACCCAGTGCCTCACACAGTGGCTGAGATACAGCCCCAACCCTCTGTATTTTGCTCTTAGTTGATTTTTGTCCTTGGTAGCTATCCTAGGTTCAGTCTAAATCACTTAAAAAATACATATATATTTTATATATGAAAAAAAACATGAGTCATAGGACTTTTTTTAAATTAAAAAAAAATTTAAGGAAAAAAGTGGTATGGGAAAGGACCTGTTTGGCCCACTCTCTTCCCTACTCTGGGCAGTTGGGTTGAGGCCCTTAGGTGTATAATGAATGCAAAATTGCTCCTATTTTATAAACATCTCTCTTAATCTGTTAACCTTCACAGAAATACTCTGGATTTAGTAAAATACAGGTTAAAAGCATGGACTTTGGAATCAGACCTGGGCTTAAAGCCCATCCTCCCTCTGTGTTCATTCCTCTGTGACCATAGATGAGTTTCTTCACCTCTTTAGGACTGTGTATCCTCAGCTGTAAAAATAAGTATAATGACATTACCAACTTGCTAAGGTGTTGAATTATGTAGCTCTTTTCTGAATATGGAAGGAAGCTTAAATTTAGTAGGTTAAAAATATTTTAAAACACTTTATAGCAGTTCGATTTTATCTCTATTTTATTTGCTCCTCATAGTAATGGTGTGGGTTAGACAGGGTAAGTATTATTTTGCTTTTATAATTGAGGATTAGAAGAAGTAGTTGTTAGTTCAGGGTATTTAATACTACTGTTGGGGATACTCTAACTAAAAATCATGGGACTTTTAATACTGATAATAATATTCTCAGTAACTTTCCAATTTATGCCCACTTTTTATTCCTAAATCTTAATGCCATACTATAAGCCTCTCACTAAATTCAATATGCAAAGCTAATTTTATCAATAAACTAAAATAATATTGACCTTGCTGTCTCAGCATGATATCATTTTTTCTTCTCCAGGAAATTGTGTTTTGAAATTCTGTTTATTCAAGATGAGCATTATTATAGAGACAATAGGAAGAAGTCATATTTTTTCCTTCGGTGGGACACAGGATCACCATCCAGCACAAAGTAAATAATTGCTCTAGCTCTAGGATTTCCAGATATTAGCTAAGATGTTAGGATGCTGTTCTTTGACATATTCGGTCTGTTTGCAGCCCCAAACCAATGCCATGGTATGCTGCCTTTTAAGATACAGTTCTGGCTTTCTTAGCACCAGAGGGCATTTTTGGAGGTCACTTAGTCTTTCCATAATTAAAAAGTATGTCTGATTATATGTAACATTGAGTGCTTTCCATAGTTAAAAAGAATATTTGATTATTTGTAACATTGAGTGCTTTCTGTGTACCAAGTAGAGAGTGTATACTTTCATTTGTTTTTTTCAGTTAATCCTTAAGGTACCCTTCTAAAAAATAGAAGACTCTTCAAAGCAGTGGGAGTATAGTGGTGAATAAAATAGACTGATGATTGTATCTGTATGAAACAGCTGCTTAGAATAAGAGAGAACTAGGTCCCATGACTAGAACAGAGTTTGGAATCTTTTTCAGGTGACTATGTTTTGTCTCAAATGCCCTACTGTGAGAACTGCTGGTCTTGGACGAATTATGGGGTGAGGTTTGGGACAGGTGTTGTGGGGGTAACTTAGGCATGACATTAAGCCTGCTTGTGTAGGTAGACTGGTCAGCTTCTGAGTGTTCCTTCTTTTCAGCATCCCTTATATATCTGAGGATACAGCGTATCTTTAGAAAAAAGAGCTTTATCTGAACAGACATAAAGATTATTAGACTATAGGTTCCTTGATCCGGGAGGCTTACTTCCTATAACCACTCCAAATGATGAGTTGGCAATGCTCACAGTGGTAATGGGATAATATCTTGTTTGTGGGAAGAGGTACATAATATTAAACTTAGGAAATTGACAAGAAAATATAAGTGTAAAGCATGGCTCTTAATATACCAGAAGAATCTAATTGGAGCATATGAGTTTTAAATCAGCAGAATAAAACTCAGTTTTCTAATTGTAGAGAAAAGAATGTGGGATACGGAGAAAGAATAATGATGCTGTATAGACATTATGAAAAAAAGATGACTAAAATAAGTATGAATAATGGGAGAGGCAGTAAATTCAAATGAGTAATGCTTAGAGTAAAATATTAGTTTTTAATAAGAATTAAACAGATAAATTGAACAGGTAAACTGAAGCAGCAAAACTAAAAATATAAAGTAAGTATTTTGTTTTTTTCTTTTGGTTGCTGCTGGGAATCAAACCCATGGCCTTGCACATGCTAAATGTATGTGCTCTACCATGGATTGAAATCCCTAGCCCAAGAAAAAAACTTAAAAAATAAAAAATTTTATATTGGGAAAATATGTTGCTACTAATCTGATTTACCTTAATAGTAAATATATTTTTAGGCAAGTAAGTTATAAGATATACAGAACAATGTTATATTAGAGGAATAATAGATAAAAAATATAATGATTGGGAATATTTATGCATCTAACAACATTGTGTTTAAGTATATAAAGAAGAAATAAGGAGAAATAAATGAATCATCTGTTGTTGCAGTTGGTCATTTGAACATGCTCC